GTGCCCGCCACCCACTTCGGCATACCCCTCACACGCTTCGTGGTCCCATAGGGGGCTCCACCGAAGGTCCCAGTGGCACCGTCCGCATGCGTCCCCGCCACCAATTTGGGTATATACACACACACACACACACCTCAGGCTTCGCGGCCCCCTATGGAGCTCCACCGAAGGTCCCAGTGGCACTGTTCGCACGCGTCCCCGTTAGATTTGGACACACCCCTCACACGTTTCGTGACCATAGAAGGGGCTCCACCGAAGGTCCCAGTGGTACCGTTCGCTCGCTTCCCCGTAACCCATTTCGGCACATCCCTCGCAAGTGTCGTGGCCTCATAGAGAGCTCCACCGTAGGTCCCAGTGGCACCATCCGCAGGCGTGGGCACACCCCTCACACATTTGGTGGCCACAGAGGGAGCTCCCCCGAAAACGAGGCTCATAAATGCGTTGCTCGCAGCTTTCACATGGTTCGGCTCCTTCGCTGGGCTAACCTTTGGTCGGCGGGACACCACCCATTCCAGAAACTAAAACATATACATTACCAGTGGCGGGCTGCTTTTCAATCCCAGGACTTCTTGAGGGTCGAGGACGACGCTGGGGTGGTGTGCTGTATTCTTTTTTCCCCGATGTCCCGGGGAAACAGCGAAAGAATTATACGCCAGGGTCCCGTGTACACCAGGATCCGCTCTCCCGTGCACTTTCCAGTGCGGGGCCGGAAGAAGCGTCGGTGCATAGAGTTCGCTTCCCTGCCATTCTCTCCTCCCCCAGCCTTCCGCAGCCCGTTTTTGGACCATCGCGGGGAGGCCCGGTTCCATGGCCGCCCCGTGAGCGCCTGGCCTCGCTCGCCGTGCGCCGGCCGAGGGATCGGCAAGGCGCCGGCCGCCCGCCGGAGAGCGGCCTCCGGCAGCCCGCCCGCATGAGGCCGGCTGCTCGTGGGAGGGACCCCTTCGCCGGGCCCTGCGCACGTCTCCGCGCCGTCTGTTCCGACGCGCGGCCTTCCCCAGACCCCCTCGAGTCATGGGAAAATCACGACGGGAGGTTTGTCGCTATCTTCGGCCTCTGAGGGCCCTTACCGGACCTCGGGGCCGTCAAAAAACGATGCGGGACGAAAGACGGGTCCCGGGGAATGGGTCTGGGCCTCTGGGGGTCGCGTCATGAAAAAGATCATGACGTCGGGGGTCTGGGTCCGTCCTGAGGAGGGCGCCGCGGCCACCAGGGCAAGCGCCGCCTCGGGCGCGGGGCGTGCCGCGGGTTTGCCGTGGGGTTGCCGTGGTGTCGGCGTCGTCCCCCGCGGGAGCGTCGAGAGCAAGCGGCGCGGCGACAGATGTGGTCCCAGACGCGGCCACGCGCAGAGGGGTAATTGGGAGTAGGGGGGGATCTGTCCAGGAGGAGGCCACCTCTTAGAAGGTGCGAGCCTCGTCTGTAGATGCAGGGCCATCGCCTTGTAAGAGGCAGCCTCCTGCTGAGCAGCCTTCCCCCCCCTCCCACTGCCCCCTCTGTGCGCGCCGCCGACGGACGTGCTCGCGTCGAGGAAAGTCTGTTTTAAACCCATGCTCGGGCAGAGCGGGGGGGCCTACCAGGGCCCCAGGACCGTCAAGCGAGCAAAACGATTCGAGGGACTAAGCAAACAGAAAACAGCCCTGGGGGAGAAGGGTCGGAACTTCTGGGGCGTCGCGGAGGGGGTGCGGGCCCGCAGAGCCGATCAGAGTTCAACTATAGTCTCGACGATTCCCGAAGAGTTTTTCGTGCCTCGGGATGCTCTGCAGAGGCTTGGCCCGAACGCCGCCGGGGACCCAGACCCAACGCTTAGTGCGGGCCCACGGGGCCCGCCCAGCTCAGAGCAGGCCTGCCCGCCTGGACGTGGCCTCCCCGCCCGGGGCGCCCCCCTCACGCCGCGCACCAGAGGTCGCCCCTGCCTTCGGGCGCCTCCGTGAGATCCGACGTTGTGATGCTGTGGCAGTCTCGTGTGGAAACACGACCAGAGCCCCAGACCCCATCTCTCTGCGGCATCCTGCGAGCCCAGCGATGGCCCCAGGGCCACAGACCGGGCGAGAGCGCCCGGCGTGAAGGGAATGCACCGCCCGGACCTCGGGGAGGGTCCCTGGACATGCAACCCTTTGGTTCCTCAACACCCCCTGAGATCCTGGCGTTACAATTTCTTTTGCAACGGGCGTTTTCGCTCGATTTCGGGCCCCAGGACCCTCACGGATCGATCGGGCTCGAAAAGTGACGCGGAAAGATGAGGTCTGGGTCTCCGGGCGTGATTTTCGCGATGTTGCATTTTTTTGCAACGTCGGATCTCAGGGAACACACAGACACAATGAATCGTCGAGTCCCAGGAAAATATAAGAAAATATGGGAAGTGGGGGGAGGACAAGAACCCTGAAAATGGGGGAAGATATGGGGAATCCTGTTATTTGCGTGTATTTATTTGTGTGCCCCAGTTCCCCTTCAACAGCGTCGACCCCCAGAGGCCTGGACCCCCCTTCCCCGTGGCCGGCGTCTCCTCCCGCGCCGTTCCCGGACGGTCCCTCCTGGGGCCCGGCGCGGGCCCCCCGTGAGGCCGAGAATGAGGAGTTGTGAGAGAGCCCTCCCGCGGCGTGGCTTTTGTCAGGAGGGGAAAAAACACACAGACACAATTAATCCTCGATCCCCCAGAAAATATAGGAAAATATGGGAAGTGGGTGGGAAGACAGAAACCCAGAAAATATAGGAAAATATGAGGAATCTTTTTATTTCTGTGTTTTTATTTGTGTGTCCCAATTCCCCCTCATTTTGTCACGGCGCGAGGGGGTCTGCCGGGCCGCCCTTGCCGCGTGCCCGCCGAGGCCCCGCGCCCGCGGCGCCGCTGCGGCCCTGGCCGCCCTCGCCGCCCTGGCCCTGCGGGCCTGCCACCGCGGCTGCCCCGCCGGCGCCGGCGGGCCGGGCTTCGCGGCCTGCGGCGGCGCCGCGCGCGGGCGCGGGCTGCGCGGGGCGCCCACGCGCCTCGGCGCCGGGGCCGAGGTCGAGGAAGAGGAAGCGCCACAATCGGGCCGGGCGAAAGGGGGGGATTGGGAAAGGGGGGTTACGAAATTTGCTGCATGCAGCTAGTTTCGGCCTCACCGAGGGGCCCATTCCTCGATACATAGCCGCCTCCGGCGCCGGGAGGCGCCGGGAAAATCAGCTACGTGAGCTGATTCTCAAACCCCCCCTTTGCTATCCCCCCCTTTCGCCCGACCCGACACAAGCCTGAACCCCAGAGATCCAACGCATTGAACAAAAAATCAAGAGGGAGGTGTTTTCAGTTTTCGGCCTCCAGCGGCCCTCGCCGGGCCCCGGGGCTGTCAACATACGACACAGGATGAACAGCTGGTCCTGGGAAATGGTCCGAGACTTCCGGGGACCCCGTATTGAGAAAAAAAACGCGACATCGGATCTCTGGGACATTGCTCCCCTCTTTTTTCCCCCCCCTCTCCCCCCTCGGCTGGCGTGTCTCGCCGTGCAGGACATCGCCTGTGGCGTTCTCTGCCTGGAGAAAGCTCGACTAGACGTAAGACTGACCTTTCGCCGGAGTGGCCTTTGGTGCGGGCACGGATGGGTCCCCAGATGGCCGAAAACGAAGCAGCAGCAGCCGCAGCTGCTTGCGCGCCCAGGTTTGGTTCCGCGGCCCCCAACAAGTCGCGCACCAAAGGTCATTCTTAATTACCCAGGGTCACTCTTGTGTATAACCGGAAAGCGCCATAAACAAAAACATTGCTCCCCTCTTGTCTTCCCCCTCCTCTCCCCCCCTCGGCTGGCGTGTGTCGCCGTGCAGGACATCGCGAGTGTAGCGTTATCGGCCTGTCCGGAGGCGTGCCGTCTCACGGCTCGGTGCCAATTGTTCAGTGTTCGTTCTAGGGAGTAAAAACAAAAAACAAAACAACAAAAAAGGAAATGCTCCACGCGGAGTTCTTGGATCCGCGCTGGGCCCCCCCAGCGGCACCTCCGGCGCCGCCCTAAGGAGGGGGTCCGGCGCAGATCTCAGAAGTCCGCGCGGAGCGCCAAGAGTTTCTGCTCATGGCGTTTTTTTTCTCTACGAGGGCCAGAAGCCGAAGCTGTGGACGCTGGCCATCCGGGCCAACGACCACTACGTCTGGGACGACGAGGCCGTCTTCACGAGCATCCTGGCGGACGCCGGGGAGTGGGAGGCTCGGAGCAGGGCGGGCGAAAGGCAGCGGCAGCTCGAGATCGGCCCCGGACCCCCTCCTTGGGTCCACCGCGCACCAGGGTTTGTTCGAGCTGCGTCCAGCCGTGGCCACGAGGGGAGGAGGAGGAGGAGGAGGGGGAGGGGGAGGAGGAGGAGGAGGAGGAGGAGGAGGAGGAGGAGGAGGAGGAGGAGGAGGAGGAGGAGGAGGAACCCAGGGGCCCCCTGGAGGCCAACTGCCGCTGTCTCAACTCGCCTTCCTCTGAGAGGTGAAGCTCGACGTCATCCGGGACGCGTTCCGAGAAGCCAAGAGCTCGGGCTCCGCGGTGGTCTTCTCCGCGCCCCTGTACGTCATCCGGGACTACGTGCTGGAGCTGCAGAACTACGGCCTGGCGGCCGAGGCCGTGCCCGCGAAGGAGGCTGCCCCGGAGGCGGAGGACGAGGCCGCCTGGTCACAGAAGGACTGGAAGCTGCTGTCGCCGGACGTCAAGGATCAAAGGAGGAAAAACGGCACAGGAATACGGGCAGAAGTTTTTTGGCTCTGCGTGTCGCTCCGCCGCTCCTGGGCCACCCCGCTGCGGCGCGACTCGCCATCCGTGTCCCAGTCCCCAGGCGTCAACGTCGCGAGCCTTTCCAGACCCCCCCGCCCCGCGGAGCGGAACGACGCGCTACCCACTCCCACTCGCAAGGCATGGCATGTCGCCAGGGCCGCCGCCGCGACGCGCTAAGCAAGAATTCCCGACCGTGGACTTTTCAACGGTCCGCGCGGATCGTCGTAAGTTTATGCCTATGCCGTTTTCCTTCCCTTGAAGGAGTCGCTGGGGCCCATGCGCGAGGCGGCCGAGGCGTCTTCCCAGGGCCCCAAGGCCAGCGTCGTCATCTTCATGTCGGACCACCCGAGCCTCAAGGGAGGAAAGGGTGCCACCGCGAGGTTCCGCGCGTACGTGGAGATGGGGTCCGACGCGGCGGGGCGGTTCTGCCCGGACGAGGTCAGGGGGCAACGTTAGGAGGGGGATGGGGTCAGGGGGGGCGACATGTTCGAGGTTCGAGGCTTTCGGACGTCTTCGTCAGCTCTCAGCGGTCTTCCAGCCTCGGGCTGCCCTCCAACAGCTGCGCCTCGCCGAGGGCGTCCTGGCGGTGCCCAGATCGTTCCGAACGGGTGCCCGAGTCCCGAGCTGTGGTCCGAAAACCATCGGGGCTCCCTCCTCCTCCCCTTCCTCCTCTTCCTGCTTCCTCCTTCTCCTCCTCCTCCTTCTCCTCCTTCTCCTTAGCCCACAGACTCTTCTCCTCCTCCTCCTGCTTTCTCCTCCTCCTCCTCCTCCTCCTCCTCCTCCTCCTCCTCCTCCTCCTCCTCCCCAGAGGGCAGCCCGCCAGCAGAGCAGCACAGTGCAAGGCGGCAGCAGCAGCGGGAGCAGGGGCTCAGAGGCGGGGCCTCCTACCCTGACACGTCGATTAGTGAACTGGCCGCTTTCGGTTCGCGAGAGGGCGTCGCGGCCGTCCTTGTTGCGGGTCCAGGTCCGTCGGTTTCGGTCTTGGGCCGCTTTCACGAAAGGGTGGTGTACCAGGCGGCGGCGCCAGCTTGCCAAGCGCATTCTCGCATACAAGTTCGTGGTCCTTCGTCCGCATTACGATCGTTTTCTCGCCGCCGTTTCTGGTGAGCCCTAAGGTGTGCTCTGGTGGGGTGTAAGACCGTGCTTCGCACCGACATCTTGCCTCACCCTCCACACCTGCCAGGGTGGTGTGCTGAAGGGAGGTCTGTCCACCGCCCAAAATGGGCCCAGGGGCGGCACGGAAGCCTCGACCCCGGAGCGCCCCTCCGTCGCCGGTGGGGGCCTGCTGGCCCGCCCCGCCCAAGGGGGGCGTGCAAGCCCCAAGCTTACCCTGGGTTTCTTGGTAAGCGTAGGGGGGTGGCTCCCCGACGGGGGTCCACCTCGCCTCGTCGTCGCGCCGCGACGGGGGTCGGAGCGCCTTCGGCGCGCGGCGGCTGCCCGCGACGGGGGTCGATGCGGGGCTGTCGGCGAGGGTGACGCCCCCCCGACGCCGATTAAGAAACTCGGAGTGTTCCCCGTCCGCGGGAAAAGCATCCGGGGCATCGCATCGACCCCCAATCGCTCATTCATCGTCGGTGGGGGCCTGCCAGCCCGCGCCGCCCAGGGGCGTGCGGCTCCAGCCTCGGAGGCCTGCGCCGCCGATCTGTGGGCGACGTACCGCCGATGCCAGCGCGATGTTTCCCCCCCAGAGCTGGCCTTAAGTCGGACGTGTCCTCCTACAGGCGGATTTTGGATGAGGATCTTAAAATTCAAACCAAATTATCCCAGTGCGACCCTACCTAGGAGTTGGAGCCTCTAGGAAAGCAACATTAGTAGGAGCGGTAGACGCCGTCCTCCTCCTTCTCCTCATCGTCGTAGTTGTAGCAGTAGTAGTAGTAGTAGTAGCAGTAGTAGTAGTAGTAGTAGTAGAAGTAGTAGTAGTAGTTGTAGTTGTAGTTAGTAGTAGTAGTAGTAGTTAGTAGTAGTAGTAGTAGTAGTAGTAGTAGTAGTAGTAGTAGTAGTAGTAGTAGTAGTAGTAAGTAGTAGTAGTAGTAGTAGTAGTAGTAGTAGTAGTAGTAGTAGTAGTAGTAGTAGTAGTAGTAGTAGTAGTAGTAGTAGTAGTGTAGTTGTAGTTGTAGTTGTAGTTGTAGTAGTTGTAGTAGTAGTAGTAGTAGTAGTAGTAGTAGTAGTAGTAGTAGCAGTTGTAGTGATAGTTGTAGTTGTAGTTGTAGTTGTAGTTGTAGTTGTAGTTGTAGTTGTAGTTGTAGTTGTAGTTGTAGTAGTAGTAGTAGTAGTAGTAGTAGGAGGAGGAGGAGGAGGAGTAGGAGTAGTAGTGGATGCTGTGCTGCGCTATGCTATGCTATGCTATGCTATGATATGCTATGCTATGCTATGCTATGCTATGCTATGCTATGCTATGCTATGCTGCGCAATGCTATGCTATGCTGGGCTAGGCTATGCTATGCTATGCTATGCTATGCTGCGCTATGCTATGCTATGCTATGCTGTGCTTTTGCTTTGCCTTCGCTTTTGCCTTCACTTTTGCCTTTGCTTTTGCTTTTGCTTGGCACCCAGGGAGCGCAACTGGGGGAACCGCGCGTTTGCTTTTACCTTTGCTGTTGCTTTTGCTTGGCGCCCAGGGGACTGGGGAACCGCCTGGGGCGGTTTGCACTGCCCGGCCCCTTTAAGCCAAGCGAGTAAGAACCCTTCTAGGCAGAGCCTAGGTAGGGATAAATAGTTTCAAAAATACACCAAGAAGCTCAAAAAATGGTCCCCTTAGAATTTCTTGACTATTTTTGAACATTACTCCTTTAG